TCAATAAAAATCTTTCAAATGCGACTGTAGCTTTTTTCCCCCCAAAACTTTGTCTTCAAAATAAGGGTGCGTCTTATGCGTCTTATATTCCGAAAAATACGGTACGTTGTGGACGAACATAAGTTACTCTTTGGAATTTAATATACCTCCACGTGTCTAAGTACACTAGAGAAAAAAAGTAACAGCTTAGACCCCACGAGTCCCCCAGTAGGACAGCGGTAAGTTTCGGGCTTACAGCGCTAAAATCCGAAGTTCGATTCTCTCGGTGGACACAACAGATAGCCCAATGTGGCTTTGCTCTAAAACAGAAACAAACAAACACTTCGAATTTGTAGTTTTTTTACAAAGCTGCACTGTATTACCAAAAAAACATTTTGGCGGGGGACTTTTCCAATCAGTACATTTATCAATAATTCTTTTTATATTACTAGAACAGTTACTGCTAAATTTGTCTTAAACTGTCTCTACTTCTGCTGTTAATAAGGTTGTTTTTATAACTGTTATTAATATCTTACAACCACTAAATCTTGTATTGGTTAAGGCATAATGTTTACTAACAATCCATAACTGTAATTTATAGGGCAAAGTAGCGAGCCCGTGGGCCTATGGCCCACATTTACAGGGCCACAATAATGCAAATTTAATGCTTCAACTACAATGTTTCACTTTTTCAGTTTTAATGATCATTGCCGCTATAAAGCAAGTTTAATTTCTTTAACCAAGTTACGAACAGTAGTTAATAGACCTACTTATTTGCATGCTCTAACGTAAATAAATAAATATCAAAATTGGGGGCCGCTTTCGGGGAATCCCCGTGAAAGTGTTTTCGCAAAATACCCGAGGGGGTTGGGATGAATAGTTTTACATTTAGAATCGATATTATTTCTTTGGCATTAGTTGGAAGTTTGTGGTTAAAGCAGTTTAGGGTGAAAAATTTAACATTTGGACAAACCTCGGGACCGAGACAATTCGTTTGGTTCCATTTAAAATTCGGTGCAACCAGCGGTTTAGGAGGAGTTACGTAAAACACAGACACACTGAATCTTGTTACATATATTTGTCTCTCTCCCAGGCTCAAGCATTGCACAATTTTGGGATATTCAAGAAACTTCGGAAAATCGTTAGTTTTATGCTTCAGAGTGAGGATTTCTATATATTCATGGAGGACAGCAAATCTTTAGTTTTATGTCTCAGAGTGAGGATTTCTATATATTCGACGAGTGCAGCAAATCTTTAGTTCCATGTCTCAGAGTAAGGATTTCTATATATTCGAGGAGTACAGCAAATCTTTAGTTTTATGTCTCAGAGTGAGGATTTCTATATATTCGAGGAGTACAGCAAATCTTTAGTTCCATGTCTCAGAGTGAGGATTTCTATATATTCGAGGAGTACAGCAAATCTTTAGTTCCATGTCTCAGATTGAGGATTTCTATATATTTGAGGAGTACAGCAAATCTTTAGTTCCATGTCTCAGAGTGAGAATTTCTATATATTCGAGGAGTACAGCAAATCTTTAGTTCCATGTCTCAGAGTGAGGATTTCTATATATTCGAAGAGGACAACAAATCTTTAGTTTTATGTTTCAGAGTGAGAATCGAACTTCTACTTTGTTCTATTAATGGAAAAGAATTTGCAATTGTTTATATAAGTTTGTAGCTTTCACATTTTAACACACGACTGCTTTCCTAATAGCATGATTACAGCGCTATCAAATAATTTTAAAGATATTTTAAAGATCCGTATGGGGGAGTTACATTTAGCTTAAAATGTATATAAAGAAAATGTTTACAGCAAAACGTCCCCATGCGGTACAGCGGTACGTATAGCTTTGTGCTTAATTACAAACAAACAAAATAACAGCAAAACCGTTGTTTAAATTTAAAAATAAGTAAAATATTGTTATAATATTTCTTTTTAAATAAGGAATAGTTTTAGTCTAAAGGCTGAAAATTCGACACAACCTTTTTGGTTCAATATTTGCATCGCGTGACTACTGCATATTAAATTACGCAACGTATTTTATACTCTTAAAAATACATTTTTCATGTTGATTTGAAGAAAGATCTTTTACGAATGTGGTTGAGAAATCGAAACGATGCCATCTGAGAAACATGTTTAAGCCAGGTATTCTAAAATATATATCATTTTATTAAAGTTGACCAGCCCATTTATTCCTGGCAGAGAAACACAAACCATGCGCAATTCCCTCATCAACTTTAAGTTCGCCATCACGTTTGAGAAAATATCTACTGAACAGACAGGCTTTACCCCGCTTTGTGCGCTTGACAGAATAATCCGTAGTAGTCGTCGAGCTCGAGCTCCAATCGTTCTCAGCAAATCAGCTCGACCGTAAAATCTGCTGCTTATCCTAGCACGAAGAATCTGGAGTAATAGCAGAACAGTCACTAGAGCGAAGAGTGTTCAGCTTTTATTTTAGTTATATAAGGCTCCAGGATTAAAACTTCGAAACGTCATTGAAATTAAGTTAGCAAATGCTCTTTTATTACACAGTTTCTAATGAGAGAGGTATTTCGAAAGAGCATTTTCATGCTTGAAATTAAATTAGTTTGATCATTTGGAGACCTTCAGATTATATAACCATTTTGAAAAGGGAAAATATATTGAAACTAAATTAATACGACCTCGCAGGAAACGACATATTACAGAATCCTGGTTATAAAACGTATTACAGCCAAACCAAATTTTTACACCAGGTGTAAATAT